TGGATGGTTGATGATGCCTTATTGTCAGACAGCGATTCCGCAATCCTAGTGGTATATCTAGTCCTTAGACTTGAGACACTAAGGATGTCCTGTATGAGTGCTCCTCTCTTTAATACTAGACTTATAGGTTTGGCTATCCCAGATCTAGTACAGTTGGTCATTGGGAATGGTAGTCGACCTTATGAGGGCTATTGAGTGTCGATAGGGGATCATCCACTCTCGGCGTCATAAGAGGAATGTCCCATATGTTCTTGCTTAGACAAATCCTTAGCCAGGGTCATTCGGGTTGAGAGAGAGGTTTCTCTAGGAGAATCCGATTAAAGCGAGACTCGAGTAGAAACCGTATGGGTCTGACAGCACCATGCTCGATATATGGTCTCTGGGATATTAGATGGATGAGGGACTATAGGTATACGGTAACTGAGGACAGACATGTCTAATGGATTGGATTCCCCTTATCGTCTAGGGACTACGGCGTAGTGGCCTAGTACGTCCGTAGTCGATGAGTCGAGTGAATTATTACAGAGATAATAATTCACTGAGTTAGAAGGAGTTCTGACAGGTATGACTCACGGCCAGCTAGATATTGGGCCTAGAGGGTCATACACATATGGTAGGCATTACGATGAGTAGAGGTTCGGATATGAGATATCCGACGGAGCCCTTGTTTGATTGGATATCCAATAAGCCCCTGAATTATTGGATCCCATAGACGGATCCAATAAGAGCCCATAAGAGATTATTGGATAGAGATCCACTAATCTAAAATGCTTGGGTTATTGGATGCAGATCCAATACCCACTAGGTGAGGATCCATTAGGGTTTTGACAGGGGACCTCTATAAATAAGAGGAATTCAGAGCCTCATAGGCTAGAGCCTTTGCTTGCCTCTCCTATTCTCCTTCCCCTTTCCACCTCAAAGCAGGCCTGGAGTTTTGAGGAGCGTCATCGCAGCTCTGCTGTATGGATCACCATTAGAGAGGAGGACGCTTGACCTCCTTCACCCTCTCCTAAGAATCTGTAAGGAAACAGGGATATACAATCTCCCTAGGTAACACAATCTATTCTATACGCAGTTTTTCAATTTCGTGGATTTTGCACACCAATCTTCGCACGATGACGAACATCTCTTTGGAAATTGGGGATTTTGTTTTCTTGTTCTTTCGCTGCGCATATGATGTCGCCCCAAAGATTTTCCCAACAGGCGTGACCCAAGACCGGGTGCATGAAGGTCGATTGCTTAAGGAGTGATTAAAATCGAAGGTGGAAGAGACCCTATAATGTGTTGGTCGAGGCCACACATGGAGGGATCACAATTTGAGTTTATCCCACAAGGATTAGAATGCAATAGAGATGTCACCAGGAGGCAACATGGTGCAACGGATCGTGGTGGAACAGTTCATGGCAATGCGATACACACGACATAGCCTCGTGAGGGACTAGATCATACAGAGGTATGATCAGGAGCTACTGGGAGCTCCACTTCGGTTAACAACACAATGGCAAGAAGGGCTATGGATTCAAGGAGTGAAGACTATGGTACCATAGAGGCGGGTCTTCCGTGTGTGCATCAAATTTTACATCGGATGAAAACCTTGGTCATCAACATATGGGGGCTGTGTACCACCAAGAGAAAAGTTCGAATGCAAGCACAGTGAGTCACATAGGAGGGACTTGATAATGCAGAGGTATGATCGAAGCAGCTAGAGAGTTGGACTGCTCTAGAGCCCATATTCGCTTAAGGGAGCCCGACAAGTCAGAGGATAAGGTCGAGTAAGCGAATGTTGCTATCAAAGAAGCTAAGGAGAACAGAATCGGTGCAAACCCTACAACATGATAGCAGAGGCCATGCATGAGATTTGCAGTCTGTCTTTCCATCGACCAAAGGGAGTTGCTTGGATAACACAGAGGTATTGAAGTAGAGGGTCAAAACGGGCGAGGAAGTGATGATGAGTCAAGAGGGAGTTAGCTACCCAAAATAAAGTATCAGCTATAATGGAGGTAGACTCGGATGAGTGCCACAGAGACAGACTGCAAATCTATCATACCCTTATAAATAATTTCATCGATCTAACCGTGATAAACAAATATAAGCCCTCTGACCTTATTTATGAATAGTATTTTCATACTTGAGTTCTCTCATCATACTATATTTTGATACTAATTATTATCCTTTTCTTACTCACCTCTTACCATACATTAATACTAGGTCCATTTTGATAATAATTATTATGATCCGATAGATAATTAATCCATTAATTTTTTTAAGCTCGAACCACTGGGCCTTAAATGACATTTAAGTTAAAGTTGGTTGTGATATATCAATAGTATTCTTATATACAAATCTATCTATCAAACCCTGATAACCAAATATAAGTCTTTACTTGCTTTGTATCTATTGCTATTTTTGTTCGTTTGGCAATTTTGTCATGCAATTGGTTTTGATTTAATTACTTTTGAACTGTAATTATAAAAAATTGATTTGCTTGTGAGTTTACTTGTAACACTTTTAGGATGTTAAAAGACCATCTTAGTAAGTACTCTTAACCTAAATGTCTACTTCAACATACTCAGGGCAAACTTTCTCATGAAGTGAAACTATCCGTTGTTCTGCCAACATTGTTTGATATCAAAATTCTTAATTTACAAAATAGAGAAATCATCTCTGGTTTAGAAGGGAGAATTTTTCTTAAGAGGATTTTTCTTAACAGATTTACGATATCTCATCATGTAGTTGGAGAGATCTTGCCTGTTGTTAAGGTTGTTATCAACGTTATTAACACAAACACAACTAAGATCTGGCTGCTGGAAAAGGGATGGATACACTGTCAACCGTATCACTGATACATGGATTGCATGTCTCGTCCATTGACCATCGTCTCGGGGCAGCTCTGCACCAATTTCATCAAGACTAACTGGATGGAAACAAAGAGCCATGCAGACGAGGATGAAGAAGGATGTGAATTCGATTAGTTCGGCTCCTGTTTCGATCAGGTTGGAATGTCTCAAGATTGCTGGCATTGAAATGCTCCCGACATCTGATGCCCTGATCAAGAACTTCACAGCATTGATCATCTGCAGAAGAAAAGAACTTCACAGCATTAAACTATCTATGCAGTAGTTGCATAGATAGTAGTCGTTAAATGCTCAACTTAGCCTAGAACAGACAATAGTTAATTAGCCAGAAATTAGCTTATATAAGCAACATTTAGCAAATAGTAGTCATTCTTGATTATTGCAGTCTATCTAGATATCCAAAAAGGTGCATAATGAAGTTTTAGAGCCTTTGCAGAAAAACAAAAAAAAGTATGAAGCACAGAACAATATTGCAATTTGAAATTTTCTGTGCTTCAAGGAAAGTGGAAGTTGATGAACCAGAAATCAGAGAGTAGAAACTTCAATCACAAATGCTCAAAACATCAGCACCTTCAGCCGGGCTATAAGATGTTAAAATTAAAATTCCTTAAGCACCCAGAATCTGCAGTAAAAATGCTAGATGAAAACATGAAAAGCAAGTCCAGCAAGCCTGCATTTGACATAAACGAAGAAATAGTACTTTTATAGCTCTCAGAATGTTGGTTCCATGTTAAGTGATTGGCCAAGGCAGCATGAACAAGGGAATAAAACGATGCAAAAAGGTTAGACCCAGTTATAGCAAGCAATAGGAAAAAATTAAAAGATATGCCACCGAAGAAGGAATAGTACAAATGGTACATAACACACAGGATCTTAATTATACATACGGTTTGGTATTAGTGCACTGCAAATTAGCAACTTTTCAGGATGGAAATCGGATATAAGTTATCATGTGACTGAAGCACGTTTACCTTGTGGAATTAAATCATCAACCAACCATGTGGTGTTGACAAATCGGGCGTCACGCATTGATCCTGTGGTCTTGATGTATTTACGAGACGTTATTAACAATACGATATCGATATTACTATGTCGACTCTCGATAGCAACGTGATATCAATGTGTCAATTTTATGCCAACTCTGTCATTGGCCACGTTTCCTCGTTCCTCCTATAGCAATATATATAAATATATATAATTTATTTTAATTTTAAAATTATAAACTGTAATATTTAGACCGCAACAAAGTCCACGAATTCGGACTTGGCATGATATCTTTACGATGGACTCCACTAAAAAGTCAACTGTAGCCACATCCTGTATAAGAAGAATGACCAAACTCTGATCGATTTAGTACAGGAGGACAAGGTTTGATTTTATTCGAAGCTTAGACTTCCAACCCCATATTCTATCTCAGTTTCTTTTCTCTCATCTTTTTGTCCAATTACTTAAAAGAGTAAATACTTCAAAGCTTTATCCAGTTTGATTTGCTTTGAACTCGTAGTTCTCGATTCTAATGCTTTGTTTGAAGGCGACAGCAAAAGAACTCCAATCATCACTGCAACGAGCAGCACGAGTTGGACACGCATCAACTTCATGCCTACAGAGGAAGAAGACGGAAAACTGGCATCAGTCGTTGAGATTAGAAGCAACTTGTTCAACCGTGCTTCCCAGCCCAGCTTCCATGGCTGTGCTTCAACTTCGTGAGTTGCTTCCTCCTCTTCCTTGCCTCCGTCGCCGCCGCCGCAGCTGCAGCCGATGATGTGCTCGACGATTCGCCAGGAGAGCGAGCCTGCAGCTTCTCTGGCAAACCTTCATCACGCTGCAGCTCAGATTTCTCTTTTGACATGGATCGTGGCATCTTGACCGTCATCTCATCTTTGTGGGTTCTTTTGGTGACGAGTGCATCTTCCTTTTCGTTCCCAACTCTTGCTATCAAGCATTGATCCTTCTCGTCCCTGCCATGAACAGAGACCCTCGCTTCATTGTCCCTGGATGCAGCAACATCTTGGTCTCCAAATGGATGAGAAACTTCATGGTGCGATGGATAGTACCACACACAGGGTGGCACGTAAAGAGGCCGCACTGATCCACTGTGCTCGAAGAAACCTATGGTGTCGGCACAAGTCAAAGGCTTGTGCATGGAGAACCCGGGCGAACATGTTGATGACTCCATCTCTTTGCCTGCAGCAGTCCCACTGCTCTCCGTTCCAGACCTCACTGTCATGGCAATCTGCACAAGCAGGAAACTTTTCTCAAGCTGTATCATCAACCAAATCTTGGTTCCAGGAGATCGCAGAGGTCAAACCTGCTCCTTCAGTTGTTCATTTGTGTCCTTGAGTGAAAGGTACTCTTTCATGGCCACATCCTTTTGCTACAGTCAAATCCAAGGATCAATGGGAGCTATTGAAAGTTTGGGAGGAAACAACTTCACGAGGTGGAATGTTGCTTACCATCCTCATATTCTCATTCTCCAGGGACAAGTAAGCAACTTTTCTGGTCAACTCCTCCCGGAGAGCCTAAAGTCAAAGTGCAGCAAACATATCATACACGACATAAGTCAACAAAGAAGAATGATAGAGTGGAGAGATGGAGTAATTAATGCTCGTCACCTGACGCCGACGGATGGTCTGCCTCGCTGACTCCCTGTTAGCTAACACCCTGCGCAATCTCCTTTCTTCCTTCTCAGCCTGTAGCAAACTGAGATTTCAGCCTACACTCGAAGAAGGATCACGGCAAATGAGGTTCGAAATCGTTACCTCTGTCAAATTCTGTTTACATCTCCTACCAGGAAGTGAAGGCTGACTGCTGGGGAACTCGGTGTGTGCTCTGTATTCCGCTCCATTGCCTGAAGCAGTGTGGCCACCATCGCAACCAGCGGTCGAACATGGATCCTGTAGCACAGGCATGGATGGGACTGAGGAGAAACTGACATGATGTTGTTTTGACAGAGATGTGATCTCACTTGTTTATATTTATCAAGTGCAAATTCGAAACAAAGGAATCGAGGTAATAATCCAATATTTTGTTTTTGGGTTCATCAACAGCAACCATACTTTGACACTCAACATGCTTCTGTAGGGTAGATGAATCTACAAGTTGCATGAATGGATAGCTTCCTCCTACGAGTTAAAGCCAATCTCAGCAGCAAAACTAACGCTTTACACATTTGATGATGAAAAGACTGTGAATAAGAGAAAAAAAGAGGAGCTTTTTTAGCCTCCTACAGCATAGCACAGCAACAGCAAGAGTTTTGTGTTGTTCCTTTCACTCCTCTCCATCTCTTCAATGCCATCATATCTCAGATTGCTTCTCAATTTTTTTCTTTCTGGTTTCAAATCGAAAGAAGTAGCCAATAGATGAACTCTCTCAGGTGCCTCAATTCCACCATTGAGATTAAGGGACAAGTATGTTGCATTAGAATTGACTAAGTTAGGTTCTCACACTACGACAAACACCTGATATGGGCCAAAGAGACGAGCAGAGTTCGCTTTCTTACTCCTAAAGCTGAACTCTCCCGACCGCCATGGAAGCTCTTTTGCTGAGCTCTAACAGGCGACTCGCTTGTGCTCCTCTCTCTGGACCTACTCCCGTCGCCGTCGCCGCCCCCCGCTAGTCCTGCGAGGTGCGCCAGGGCCCGCGCCGCACCGAGCTCCATCTCCACCATCCGGCAGCCAGTTGCGTGTCGCTCCTGCGGCGCCGCAGGAGGCGAAGACGAAGCCATGGCAACCGTCTTCGAAGCGCGCTCTCGAGCTCTGTTGCTCGACAAGCCACCTCGGAAGGAGACCGGCAGGTCTACGCTCGAGGCGCGGCCACGCTGGGGGTTTCCCAGCCGTCGGATGGTGGCCTCCGTGTCCATGTTTGCAGGACAGGTGGGGAGGTCGAGCGCGACGGAAGCGCCGCTTGCGGCACTGGGCACACGTGGTGAGCGGTGACGGCTCGTAATTTCCGGGCTGACGTGGGTCAATGCTGGACCTCCACATATGCGTGTCGTAGCCAAGAATATACATTTTTAACACTATATATATATATATATATATATGTGTGGTCTCCTCGGAAGGAAGTATATTTTCTCATCTAATTATCATTTCCTCGTGAATGAATCAATGCTTCAAATTGATGCCGGAAGAAATCTTTTCCCATAATAAATCTACTGATGTGAGGCCCCCTTAAGGACATGGACAAATAAAATTATAAAACAAAAATAATTTATACTAATTATCAATTATACAATCTATCACCAACCATGTACATGTGTGGGTAAGCCAATCCAAAAGCACATCAATATCTTCATCGTAACTCAACTCTGATATCTGTTGGGTCCAGCCCGAGCTTGGATAAATTTAGGCTATGAGCCCAAATCAAAGAAATCAAGATAGAAAGGGCAAAATTGGGTGGCAGCGTGTGTCTGTGTGTGCAGTGAGATTGCAGCGTGCAAGAGAGAAAAATTAGGTTTCTGAGTTTTCTGCTTAACGATCGGTGGCCAAACGTTGTCAGTTTCAATCCAAATTTTATGTGGAGAATCTTTGCAGCAAACTCTACAATCCTAATGGTGTTGATCTGCAGTTTACCCTCTCTAAGGTACTTTCCTGTGATATCCACTTTGTGATACCTAGAATTCTCTTTTGAGGAGATCCATCCTATATGATGAAGATATGCTATTCTTGAGCCAAGATCTATAATCTTGATGTTATTCTGATCCTCTAGTTATTTTAGAGAAGATCTACTGTAAACCTGTTATCATTATTATTGATAGTGGAAGTTTGAGGTGAACTACGGTCCCGTGGTCCACATTGGGTTTTCCACGTTAAAAAGATTTGGTCTCACTGTGTGATTAATTATTTGCTCTATTGTTTATGTTGTGCTAGTTGATATTTACATTTGGATATCAAGTTGGTATTTTTGATGAGGAACCCATTTTGATACACAAAGAGGGAAAAGAATATTCCGCTTTAACAGGTTTCTTCCCAATAAGTGGTATCAGAGCGTCACGTTGGTTGTGCTAGTTTTCTTGTGTGATTGAAATGGAGCAGTCAGATGGTATGATTAAATTGAACTCATCAAATTATTCCACTTGGAGGCGTCTAATGGAAGATTTGCTCTATTGCAAAGATTTGTATAAGCCTATCAAGGTTAAAGATAAACCTTCTACTATGGACGATGAAGAATGGGAAGTTCAACATAGAAAAGCCATTGCCTATATTAGAAGATGGATGGATATAAACTTGCATGAGCATATTTCTGATGAAACTAGAGCTGATGTTTGGCAAAGGTTAGAAAACCTCTTTGCGAAAAAGATAGTGAGAAATAAAATTTCTCTCCTCAGAAGGCTTGTAAATTTGAAGTATAAAGATGGTGGTAATATTGTTGAGCACATAAGCCTATTTCAGAGTCTTGCAAACAAGTTGGTTGCCATGAAAATGAATATAGATGATGAGATGCAGGGATTATTACTTCTCAACTCTTTACCAGAAAGTTAGGAAACGTATGTGGTGACTATTTGTAACTCCACCCAGAGGGAACTCTAACTATTGATATGGTTAAATACAGTTTGCTAAATGAAGATGCTAGAAGAAAAGAACAGGGTGAATCTTCTTCTGGGGCATTTGTCACTGAAAAACAAGAAAGACGTGGAAGAAGTCATAGCAGAAATCCACATGGATATAGAGGAAGATCTAAGTCTAGAAGAGATATCAAATGTTTTCACTATAATAGGCCAGGTCACATGAAGAAAGAGTGTAGGTTTTGGAAGCGAGAATAGAATGAAATGAAGAAAAATGAGAAAGAGACTAATACAGTTGCTGCTGAAGGTAATACCACTATTGTTTGTGATGAAGGTTGTGTTAGTCTTATAGCTCAAGATAGTAATTGGGTAATTGACTCTGGTGCTTCATTTCATGTTACTTCTCATGGTGATTTCTTTAGATCTTACACTGCTGGTGATTTTGGTAATGTCAGAATGGGAAACAATGGTACATCTAAGATTGTGAGTATTGGAGATATTTGCTTGGAGACCAGTATTGGGAGCAAATTGATACTCAAAGATGTAAGGCATGTTCCAGATATTCGTCTTAACTTGATATCTACAAGTAAACTTGATGATGAGGGCTTTGCACATTATTTTGGTGAAAGTAAATGGAAACTCACTAAAGGTTCTCTGATTGTGGCAAAAGGAAAGAAGATTAACTCTTTTTATGTCATGGAAGCTAAGCTACACAAAGAAGAGATTAATGCAATTCGAAAAGGTGAAAGTATAAATCTTTGGCATAAGAGGCTTAGACATATCAGCGAGAAGGGACTTCAAACTCTTGCTGGAAAGCAGTTCTTACCAGAGTTGCAAGGTACATCTCTTAAATCTTGTGATCATTGCTTAGCTGGAAAAACACATAGAGTTGCATTTCAGACATATCCATCATCTAGAAGATCAGATGTTATTGATTTAGTTCATATTGATGTTTGTACTATGCAAACTAGAACTCTTGGAGGTGCTCTTTATTTTGTTACTTTTATTGATGACCATTCTAAAAAAGTGCGGGCTTTTGCTTTGAAATCTAAAGACCAGGTACTCGATGCTTTCAAGGAGTTTCATGTCAGTGTTGAAAGAGAAACTGGCAGAAAACTAAGTGTATTCGATCAGATAATGGTGGCGAGTACAGGGGTCCTTTTGAGAATTATTGCAGGTTTCATGGTATCAGGCTTGAGAAAACAGTTCCTAAAACTCCTCAACAGAACGGTGTGGCAGAAAGGATGAACAGAACCATTGAAGAAAGGATTAGGTGTATGCTTTCTCACGCCAAGTTACCGAAGTCATTTTGGGGGGAGGCTATGAGAACTACAATTGACCTGATAAATCTTTCTCCATCAGTTCCTCTGCAAGGTGATGTTCCAGAGAGAGTATGGAGAGGAAAAGATATATCTTATAATCATTTGAGAGTCTTTGGGTGTAAAGCATTTGTTCATATTCCCAAAGATGAAAGGTCCAAGCTTGATAATAAGGCAAAAGCATGTATCTTTTTGGGATATGGTCATGAAGAGTTTGGGTACAAATTATGGGATCCAGTGAACAAGATTATTAGAAGCAGAGATGTTGTGTTTCTTGAAGACCAATTGTTTGATGATGGTGATAATGTTGAGAAGCCAAAAACCTCTGTTTATATTCCTTGGAGTTTAGGTCCAGTTCCTTCACCTGTAGTTCATGATGATCATGGGGGAGATGAACAAGAAGATTGTGGTGAGAATACTAGTGATGATACACCTACAGTTGATGATGCTGAACCAACTGAACAGGCACCTCCACCACCAATTGAGATTCCATTGAGAAGATCCACTAGAGAGCGACAAACATCTACCAGATATCCTCCACATGAGTATGTTATGCTTACTGACGGGGGAGAGCCAGAAACTTACCAAGAAGCTATTCTACATGAGAATAAAAGTGAGTGGGTTAAAGCCATGCAAGAAGAGATGAGATCCTTGCTTGAGAACCATACCTATGACTTGGTAAGATTGCCTAAAGAGAAGAAAGCTCTCAAGAATAAGTGAGTTTATAAATTGAAGACTGAAATAATAGCTCACAACAGAGATACAAGGTACGACTAGTTGAGAAAGGATTTAGTCAAAAGAAAGGTATTGACTTTGAAGAAATATTTTCTCCGGTTGTAAAAATGTCCTCTATCCGAGTTGTTCTTGGTTTGGCTACCCGCTTAAATTAGAAGTTGAGCAACTTGATGTGAAAACAGTATTTCTTCATTGTGACTTAGAAGAAGAAATTTACATGGAGCAACCAGAAGGTTTCAAAGTCAAGGGAAAAGAAAATATGGTATGTAAGCTTAAGACAAGCTTATATGGACTCAAACAGGCACCTAGACAGTGGTATAAGAAGTTTGATTCATTTATGATGTGCCAAGGGTATGATAGAACCACATC